TTATCTGTGAAAATTAAATTTGTGGTTCCTTATATAAATGAGCTACCGTATGTGTTTAGATCTTGCGTAACCTGTTCTATAATAAGCAATTATTGCTCTGGTTTCTTTTCGGCTACTGTCAAGCTTTTTGTATGGTTGTTTTTTGCTTCCAGCTTATCAAAACAATGAGTGATAGCGTCGTTTACGCACACGCCTGCAGTGAAACGGGGCTCGATCACCTCCCACGCAAAAAAATAAATAACAAAAATAAAATGAATTCTTGACCAAACAGTTGGCATGCCCTTCAGCAAAAATAACGACATTCCTCACCTTACACAACAATATTCAATGCGTACTTGATGTCTCGTGAGCTGCCCACAATTCTTCGTTAAAGGTTAACATTAAACAGGATGGTGGACAATTTTGAGTAAATTATTTGCATCTCCAGATGCGTGGTAGTCCGTTTTTGTTGAAATATTTATAATCTTAACCTTTATAATGGACTTGCCTGTCCCTTCAACGTTAAACATGCATCTGACCGATGTATATATATTTTTTGAAGATCCTTCAAAATGAATTTCCATTCTTCATAAAGTTTCACGCATATATTGTTCCGAAAGGTTTTCAAGACTCATGCTCAATCGCTTCAACGTAACAATTCGAGTCAGCGTGAGAGGAATGAGAACATTTTATGAGGAAAACTGGTGTTTAAAAAGCGACTTCCTGCAGATTGCATTAATATTGTTTGCGTATTTACTCTTCTTTTTTTTAACACGTGAAGGCACTTATTGAAAGATTCGCAGCTTTCTTTTCAAGTAGTATATGTGCCTCTTCGTGTCCAACATTCCTCCACAAAATCTCCTTCTATGAATTCATTATTTTAATTCTGATCAACTGCTGATCATAGGCTGGAACATGTATTTCACAGATCAATTATGTACCAATTGTTTTCTAAAATGCTCGAACAGTTTATGTTCACCTTCATGGAGTCACTTGTTGCGGAACCTTTTCTACATGAACTCGAAATAGTCCAGATAAATGCAGTACAGTACTGCAGTACCTCAATAAACATGAACATGTATTTTCCAAAGCTTTGACATTTTCTTGGAAAATTTAACGATGAAATACAGGAAAAGTAATATAATTATGCGCGGTTCGCACATCCAAAAATGAAGCGCCGTTTTTGAAAAACGAAAATTTTCCTGGAACAAATTTGTTCTACGCTTGGCATTGAAATTTTCTCACTGCCCTAAAGACGGTTAAATTCCCTCTTTATTTTTCGACGACAACATCGCGAGTAGTCCCAATTTTTATTTTATTTTGAACGACAATGTAAAAATTGCGATAATAAGATGTGCTCCGAGCAAGGCTCATACGTTTTTTTTTTCAGTAAAGACAATCTATGATTCCCACAGATAAAAGAGTCTCCTGAACGATGAAGTCCAGTGCATTTTATGAGATTGATCGGTTCATAAAATATATGAAATAAGATTTTGGAACTAGTGTATGTGGAAAGAACAAACGATTCAATTGATTAGCTAGGTTAATGAAATGGGAGCTCAATCTGAAAAAAACCGCGCATGCTTAATAATGTAGTCCCAAAGAAATAATCCAATATTTTTGAGGAGGAGCTGCTGCTGGAGTATCAAAATGATGCCCACTGTATGGGATCGAAAAACGCTTGCAAATTTTTTTGCACAACATGTATGAAGAAACTCCTCAAAGATTATTATTGCGTTGAAAATCTGCATCAGGAACCAGAAAAAAAGTTGCATTGGAAAATATGTATTTACTCGAAATCCTTGAAAATATATTTCCAACAGTATACGTACATTACATCGTACGTGAGATTTTCCGCGGATTTTTAAAACATATTTTTCCGGCAGGACCTTATTATTGGTATAAGAGCAGGCAACATCTCAAGGTTCCAAAGCTTGAAGCAGCAGCACGCCCGAGCTAGGACCAACACGACCGCAGTTACAGGATTTATCACTTGAACATAAGGTGTTTTACCCCTTTCGATCAGTTCTCCTCTTCATATGATCTGTTCACCTTCATTTTAACACAGTACTTGCACATCCTTCTACTAGTCTATCTAGAATTCTAGACTGCCTGTAAAGATAATGACGGCGTCGATCGAGGAACATAAAAGCGGACCGCAGCACGGCGTTGATAACGGAAGCAGGAAGTCGCGAAAGGGTGACACGGGAAGGATTCGAAGAAAGGCGAGATGAATGATCCGGGTGACGAAACATCCCCGCCCATGCGAGCAAGCAATGATCGTTTCCTATAACAATCATCGACCGCAGGCGGCAGCGAGTGCTGTAATAATGGAGCCCAGGGTGATTGGATCCCAGCAGCTCTCCGATTATCAACATAGAAAGGTCCGAATTTCGGGGTGGGTCAAGCGAACTTTCTTCCTCTTCTATACAAACCCACGGTGCGAGTGTTTGAGATCGATCATTATACCGAAATATTCACTTCTGGCGTTGCTGCATTCGTCGTCATGCCTTGTTCATCTCATGTCGCTTTCTTTTCAGGAAGAAGATTTTGCTTGTTCGGTTGCTGCTGATGGATCCCTTGAGGGTGTACCAATATACGATGATCCCATCATCAAGAAACTGTCCTCCTGTATGTTTTTAGTTTCTTAAGTTATTGGTGTACATTACATAATCACAGACATATATACAGTACTGTATAACAAAACCCAGATTTACATTAAACTGCACAAATATTTGCATAGTTTGTCATCAGCAATGGGGGAAGGAAGAGGGGATTTTCACGTCCTTGAATATAAAGGCTATCAAGTTTCAATAGTGTGGGATGGCATACAGCAGTTCTGCACTCAGGGAAGAACACGTTTAGCACACAGGGGTATACTAATTTTCAATCAGTACACCTTGAAAAGCCCTGATATGTATGGGATACTCTGCATTTTTGTACAGTTGGCATCCCGCCACATTGAAAATTGACGGCCTTTATACAGGCATGGTGAAAATCAATAAAATAATTTTCGATCAACAAAATATTTCAAGAAATTTGGTTTTGAGTCAATAAAGAACCATACTCAACGTCATTCAATTTTTCCGTGATTTCCATCATTCCTGTGATGTATACTGTAATTGCATTTTTGGACAACAATTTCATTAAGAAAATAACCTGGGAAAGGAATTAAGTTGTTCTCAAATTTAAGAAATGTACTTGGACAAAACTGTCAGTACTTATTGTCGGAGTTTCCAAATAATTTACCAGCAATGCGACACATTTTCATGGAGGAAATATTCCACAGTTTTGTGAGAATTTCAAAAAGACGGTTCTGACAACTTTTCAACAAAATGAAAAAAAACAGCCAGAATGATTGCTCATATCTTGTGTCCATTGACAAAGATGAATGTTATTTTCAAAGGGCATTATGTCACAGAAAATGGACAATATTACATTACAATATTGCTAATTTTCTGCAAAGCATGTGTTGGGTGAGTATATTATATGATGAGCTACAGGAATCAGGTTGAAGATAATTTTGAATTTATCTTATGATGTTCACATGTGCTGTAGAGTATAGTTTTCAAAAATGTACTGTACTCCATTAACTTATTAGCTCTTTAAATTCTAACTATGCAGCTGACGTAGGCAGATTATTTAAAAAAAAAATTTTATGGGAGGGCCTTTCTAAGATCACTCAGGAGTCAGGACTCAGGAGACGCAAACAATTCAAATCCCAACATAATACTGTATATGTGCTTGTATCACGACATGGTGTGGCTTATGCTCCTAATTTTGAAGATCACTGGGCTAAAACAGTGCAGTACTAGCTGTATCTTGCGAAAATGCTCGACACATTGCTGCAGCAGCACCTTAGAAGTTTGTTTGAAATGCGTGGCAAATCGCAGAAGTTGTTATGCCAGTGAGGGACGATCCATCAAATGTAACCGTTACCACTGCAATGCGACCCGGCCATTTACTGGATTCATGCATTATGTGGATGTCATTTGAGTAGCGGAAACCAGTGCATTGTGTTTAAATTTCGCGTTATTTAGATGATTTAGGAGGTTCAGTAGTGTTCAATTTAAAACAAATTGAGACGTATCTGTACTTTTTTAGAAATGGGTTTCGAGTATCGCTTGAAACAAAGGTTCAAAATATTCGAAGTTGGGATGGACTGCGGATTGACCAGTCGGCGTTGCGGAAGCACAGCAAGGGTTAGAGGTAGTACCATAATGTCCGGTCACTAGAGGTTGCGCGTTACTTTTTTGAGGCTTTCCGGACGGTGACAGAAGGTTCTGCACGGACGGTGAAGCCGAAATACCTATTCTGTGAACGCATCAAATTTTTTTTCGGTGTTTACAGTGATGCGAGTGTCGGTCACGATTCGTTATCAAGTCATATTCCGTTTAAGTCAAGAGCTTGTTTGAAATACCTGATCTGCTTCTCGCTGCGTGAGTTTGTAGTCCGAACGTAGCTACGAGTTGCTCATGATTTTCGGAGTACATTGTGTTAGTATGAACTTTCTTCGCGAAGTGTTCCCTTCAATTGATTGATCATCACGCAATGAACGAGGGAGTAAGGTTGACGTCTAAATAAATCCCTCCAACAAAGAGCCTTCAAAAAACACTTAAAAATCCAATTCCTGCAACTCGTATATGCAAAAACATGCCGTATATGCCGCTGAGCCTGCTTTGTACCAGGGGTTTTGGTAATTCTACACCACCTGTTCACTTATGCCAACCCTTCAAAGGCTGCAGCAATGACACCTAGTGGTTGGTCTTGCCATTATCGGATGCCCGCAGTAGGTCGAAGTTGGGGGGCAGTATCGAAGTCTCCCCCGTGAGTTTGTAGTCCGAACGTAGCTACGAGTTGCTCATGATTTTCGGAGTACATTGTGTTAGTATGAACTTTCTTCGCGAAGTGTTCCCTTCAATTGATTGATCATCACGCAATGAACGAGGGAGTTGGTGAAATCAAAACTTTCTTCACTTACAGGTTTTAACTGTTCCGATTGTCATTGTTAATCAAAAGCCATGGCGGACGCCGCGGCTCGTCAACTGCAGTACGAGTACAAGGCGAATTCGAACTTGGTGTTGCAAGCTGACACGCGCCTGATAGAACGTCGTGGTCGCGATGAGCCAACAGGGGAGGTCACTACTCTAGTTGGGCGCATGATTGGAACGAAAATGGGCGATCGAGCTCAAAGGACGAAACCGAAACTTCAACAAGAGCGGAAAGCGAAGCGGATGCGTCGCGATGAAGCGAATTACGATTTTGCTCGAATGAAAGGAGTCACATTGCTTTCGCAAGGTAAGAATGTTTTCCAGTTCTTCTAACTTTTTACTACATGCAGTATTCTTTCACAGATGTCGATGAGATGGTGGGAATAATCTATCGTCCAAAAACTCAGGAAACTCGCCAGACCTATGAAGTATTGCTGAGTTTCATTCAAGAAGCTTTGGGAGACCAGCCGCGAGACGTTTTGTGTGGAGCATCTGACGAAGTTCTTGCCGTATTGAAAAACGATCGCATGAAAGAGAAGGAGAAAAAGGCCGAGACGGAGAGTCTTCTGGGCCATTTAGCCGAAGAACGATTTGCGCTTCTTGTCAATTTGGGCAAGAAAATCACGGACTACGCGAGTGCAACTGCTGGAGATTCCTCCGGGCAGAAATTTGGTGACGACGCGCTGGATCAAGCATATGGCGTAAATGTCCAGTTCGAGGAATCGGACGATGAGGGCGCGGAAGATGTGCATGGAGAAGAAGTTGATGAGAAAGATTTGGACCAAGAAGCTGACTCCGAGGAAGAAAGTATGGATATGTATACTCTCCAAGCAGAAGTAACAAAAGAGGATGAGGCATCTAAAAAGGATGGCATTCTGCATCCCATGGACATCGATGCTTATTGGCTTCAGCGTCAGCTTTCGAAGTATTTCAAAGATCCAATGGAATCCCAAAAGCGAGCTGGGGAAGTGCTTCAAATTCTGAAATCGTCTCAGGATGATCGTGAAACAGAAACCCAGCTTGTCCTTCTGCTGAATTACGATTGTTTTGATTTGATTCGCACTCTGAAAAAAAATCGGCTTATGATTTTGTACTGCACACTTCTCGCTGGAGCGCAAACTGAAGTTGACCGCACTGAGCTGAGGTTAAAAATGAAGGCTGACCCGGATTTAAGCAAGATTTTGAAACAGTTGGAGGCGGAGCCAACATCCGAGGAAGCTGCTGCTGCAGCGAAGAGGGAGAGGAAACGAAAGAAAGCTGTAGAAGATTCCCGTAGTGCAGAAACTCAGATGAATGTCCTCGATCTAGACGATCTCACGTTTGTCCAAGGCTCGCATTTTATGGCTAACAAGAAGTGTTTGCTTCCGGACGGATCTTTCCGAAAGCAAAGAAAAGGATACGAAGAAGTTCATGTTCCTGCTTTGAAAGCTAAACCGTTCGCGGATAATGAAAGTCTGGTTCCTATCGAAAAACTGCCGAAATATGCACAGCCAGCTTTTCAAGGGCTGAAATCCTTGAATCGAATTCAAAGTAAGCTGTTCGAACCTACAATGGAGCGAGACGAAAATTTGTTACTGTGTGCTCCGACTGGTGCTGGTAAAACAAACGTTGCTTTGCTTGCAATGATGCGGGAGGTTGGGAAACATGTTAACCCGGATGGAACCATCAATGCGCATGAATTCAAGATCATCTACATCGCTCCGATGAGGTCTTTGGTGCAAGAAATGACCGGAAGTTTTGGAAAGCGTCTCTCTGTGTACAACTTGACAGTTTCCGAACTTACTGGAGATCACCAGCTTTCGCGAGAGCAATTCGCTGCTTCGCAAGTCATCGTTTGCACCCCAGAAAAGTGGGATATCATCACTCGTAAAGCAGGCGATCGTGCGTTGGCGTCTTTGGTGAAACTCGTGATTTTTGACGAAATTCATCTCTTGCACGACGATCGTGGGCCTGTTCTAGAATCTTTGGTTGCAAGAACTCTGAGAAATGTCGAAAGCAGCCAGGAAGATGTTCGTTTGATCGGACTCAGTGCCACACTTCCGAATTATCAAGATGTGGCCAGATTTTTACGAGTTAACGTGGATACTGGGTTGTATTTCTTCGACAACAGCTACAGACCGGTTCCTCTTGAACAACAGTACATTGGAATCACCGAAAAGAAAGCCGTGAAGCGTTATCAACTTATGAACGACATCGTGTATGAGAAAGTAAGTTTTGAAATTTTTATTCAGTTTTGACATTTCTAGGGCAGGATAGTGGTATTTGGAGGAAAGCTTTTTTCCTAAATTCGTCTTGAGGTTGGGTCTTCCTATTTTTCAGGTTCTCCAACACGCTGGGAAAAATCAAGTTTTGATCTTTGTGCATTCGCGTAAGGAAACCGCAAAAACTGCGAGAGCTATTCGGGACATGTGCTTGGAAAAAGACACCTTAGGAGCCTTTCTGCGCGAAGGTTCGGCGTCTACTGAAGTTTTACGCCAGGAAGCCGAACAGGTCAAGTCAACGGACTTGAAAGAGCTTTTGCCGTATGGATTTGCCATACATCACGCGGGCATGACTCGTGTTGATCGTACTCTGGTTGAAGATTTATTCGCAGATCGACACATTCAGGTTAAGAAGATTGCCTAAGTTTTCGTCATGTGGTTCGGAAGACAAAGGCTTAATTTTTCACCTGAAGTTGTCGACAATTGTTCAATGATGAAACGATTTTTTTTTTCAGGTTCTTGTCTCAACGGCCACTCTAGCCTGGGGTGTGAACTTACCGGCTCATACAGTCATTATCAAAGGCACCCAAGTTTACAACCCAGAAAAAGGAAGGTGGACTGAACTGGGTGCTTTGGATGTGCTTCAGATGTTGGGTCGAGCGGGTCGACCGCAATACGATACCAAAGGAGAAGGCATTCTGATCACAAATCACTCGGAGCTTCAATACTATCTGTCATTGCTCAACCAGCAGTTGCCTGTTGAATCACAGATGATATCCAAATTGCCGGACATGTTGAACGCCGAACTAGTCTCGGGGTCCGTTCAAACTGTGAAAGATGCTGTGCAATGGCTTGGCTACACGTATCTCTACGTGAGAATGCTCCGTGCGCCAACACTTTATGGCGTTACTCACCAAGAGGCTGAAGATGATCCGTTAATGGAAAAACGCCGCTCAGATCTCGTGCATTCTGCCGCCATTTTGCTGGACAAACATCATATGATTAAATATGAACGAAAAACGGGCATAATGCAGGTTAGTTTTTTCTTCATTTAAATTTGTAGAGTTCATCCGTGTCGTTCCTGTGAAGCATCAACTAATCGCAATTGAACTTAGTAAGTAGTAACACCATGCAAAACTGCCAGTTGGGTGTTATTTTGCATTACTGTTAGTCGCTGTAAGTTCTTTACTTTTTGTAATCCAAAGTTTTGTTTGAGGACGAGTTTATTTATTTTTTAAATTTCTGTCTTGCCATTCCAACGATGTGCTATAGCCTTTAATTGTTCTTTTTTCAGGTCACTGATCTTGGTCGCATTGCGAGTCATTACTATTGCAATCACCGCACGATGTCCACCTACAACCAACTCTTGAAGCCGACGCTCAGTGAAATAGAGTTGTTTCGGGTATTCTCGTTGTCCGACGAATTCAGGAACATCACAGTGCGCGACGAGGAGAAACTCGAGCTCCAGAAACTGATGGACCGCGTACCCATTCCGATCAAAGAAGGAATCGAAGAGCCGAGCGCTAAGGTCAACATTCTATTGCAGGCGTATATTTCACAGTTGAAGTTGGAAGGATTCGCATTGATGTCCGACATGGTGTATGTTACTCAAAGTGCCGGTCGACTGATGCGGGCAATTTTTGAGATTGTGCTGAACTGTGGGTGGGCCCAGTTGGCCGATCGAGCCTTGTCTGTTTGCAAAATGATTGATAAACGCATGTGGCAATCTATGTGTCCTTTGCGACAATTCAAAAAAGTTCCCGAAGAAATCAGCCGGAAGCTGGAAAAGAAGGTAATTTAATCCGAATTTCTGTTCTCACCGTAATGTTCTGAAGAAATTATGTTTTCTCCGTAAGCTGTTCTAAATACAGTACTGTATTACGATTACGTACCTTCAACGAATGAAGTTCACATAAAGTTTCTTGAGCGTGTCTCAAACTCACAGGATTGAATGTGAAATTACCCTACTCGTCGAATTGATTAATTTCAAAAATGTAAAACTTTTGTCTAAATAACTTTTTTTTTTCATTTGTCATGACCGTTTTACGGATACAAAATTTTTGCCTTGCAGGGATTTCCGTGGGAACGATTATTGGATCTCGAACCAGCCGAAATTGGAGAGCTTCTACATGCTCCGAAATTAGGAAAAAGCATTCACAAATACTTGCATCAGTTCCCCAAATTGGAATTGGTCACGCACATTCAACCGATCACTAGGTCTCAACTTCGGGTTGAGCTACGCATCACTCCCGACTTTCAGTGGGAAGAGCGAGTTCATGGTGTTAGCCAAGCTTTCTGGATTCTTGTGGAAGATGTCGACTCCGAACGAATTCTTCATCACGAGTACTTCCTCTTGAAAGGTAAGTAATCATGTTTTTTTTTTAGAGAGAGAGAGAATTCTGGGATCAATTAACTACCGTAGTTATCAAACTCTGTATTTAATTTTTTTTGTATTTGTTTCAGGGAAATACGCTGAAGACGAGCACGTGGTGAAATTTTTCGTTCCTGTTTTTGAGCTTCTGCCGCCGCAGTATTTTGTCCGAGTTGTATCTGACTCTTGGATCGCCAGCGAGACAATCCTGCCAATCTCGTTTCGTCATCTGATTCTTCCTGAAAAAAACCCAGCTCCCACCGAACTATTGGACTTGCAAGCATTGCCGATTTCCGCGCTGCGAAACCGCCAATTTGAGTCTCTGTATCGGTACCCAAACTTCAACCCCATACAGACACAGGTTTTCAATGCTGTTTATAACACGGATGAAAGCGTTTTCGTCGGGGCTCCGACGGGTAGCGGCAAAACATTAATCGCTGAACTGGCAGTATTGCGCTTGTTCGGTCAGGAGCCGAATAATGCCCGAGCGGTGTATGTCACGCCGAAAGAACCTTTGGCCCAGCTAGTGTATGACGATTGGACGCGCAAGTTTCAGTCTAAATTGGGTAAACGAGTGGCGCTTCTGACCGGAGAAACTGGAACTGACTTGAAATTGCTTGCGAAGGTGAATATTCTACACAGAAGCATCGTGTTTGTTGTTGAGGTGTCATTATTGTTTATTTTTGTTCTCATTCCATAGGCTAACGTGATCGTGACGACCCCAGAAAAGTGGGACGTTCTTTCTCGGCGTTGGAAGCAACGGAAAAATGTTCAGAACGTTCACTTGTTCATCATTGATGAGCTGCAACTGATCGGAGTCGAAGAAGGACCCGTGATTGAAGTCGTTTGCTCTCGTATGCGTTATATTTCTTCGCAATTGGACAAGCCTATTAGAATCCTTGGTCTTGGATCGTCGATTTCCAATGCTCGTGACGCTGCTCAATGGCTTGGTTGTGGACCGAATAACACTTTCAATTTTCATCCGAATGTTCGTCCATTGCCTTTGGAATTGCACGTGAGGGGTTTCAACATGACGCATAATGCATCAAGGATTATCGCGATGGGGAAACCGACGTATCTCTCCATTATCAGGTAGGTCTTTCGAAATATTTTATCCTGGGAAGCGATTGAAGGACGAATCACCGCTCTCTTTCGAATTTAGGTTCAGCCCCAACCGTCCAGTGATCGTATTCGTGCCGAGCAGAAAACAGACTCGTTTGACAGCAATTGACCTGATAACGTATGCCGCGGCCGAAGGAAATCCTTATCGCTTCTTACGAGCGGAAGCCGACGATTTGGAACGGATTTCGTCAAAATTAAGTGATGAAACGCTGAAAGAAACACTTAGTCAGGGTGTTGGTTACCTGCACGAAGGTAAATCAAAATATTAATTTTTGGACGGGCTTAAAAAAAAAAAAAGAAGTTTTATTTTATTTTTATTTCTTGTTTTTATTTTGAGAATTTATAAATTCCTAAAATGCATATTTTATCGTTAAAAATCCTAAAATGTGTCGTATATATCTTAGGTCTCACCCCGGAAGATCGGAAACTTGTGGAGCAGTTGTATGAGTCCGGCGCTGTGCAGATTCTGGTAGTTTCTCGTGCTCTCTGCTGGACGCTGTCCGTGGCATCTCATCTCGTTGTGATCATGGACACTCAGTACTACGAGGGGAAAGCGCATTCATATGAAGACTACCCAATTACAGACGTCATTCAAATGATTGGACGTGCTAATCGACCATTGGATGATGTTGACTCGAAATGCGTCCTAATGTGCTTGTCCACGAAGAAAGATTACTTCAAAAAGTTTTTGTTTGAACCACTCCCGGTGGAAAGCCATTTGGACCAGTATCTGCACGATCACTTCAATGCCGAAATTGTCACAAAGACGATCGAGAACAAGCAGGACGCGGTAGATTACCTCACTTGGACATTTTTTTACAGACGTCTCACTCAAAATCCGAATTATTACAATTTGCAAGTGAGTGCATTGGTCGGTTACGCCTGCGTTTTTATTTTTGGTTGCAGGAACTAGTTTTGAGCGAATTTTTATGTATTAGATTTTTTTATTTTAGCATCTGTACACGATTTTATTTGTTATTGTTCTTATACTTTTCAGGGTGTCTCACATCGACATCTTTCGGACCACCTGTCGGAAGTCGTGGAAAATACTTTGAATGACTTGGAGCAGAGCAAGTGCATAACGATCGAATACGATATTGACGTATCGCCGCTGAACTTGGGCATGATTGCTGCATACTACTACATAAATTACACGACGATTGAATTGTTTAGCATGTCCTTGAATGCGAAAACGAAGCTGCGTGGGTTGATGGAAATAATTGCGTCGGCTTCAGAATTTTCGGAAATTCCAATTCGACATGGCGAAGAAGCGGTATTGAAAACCTTGGCTACGCGTGTGCAACACCGCTCTGGTGCTGCTGGGGCGAAAATATCTTATACGGATCCCCATTTGAAGACGAATCTCTTGATTCAGGTGATTGTTTTACAGTACATCGATGACTGTACAGTACAGTCGTTTCTCTGTTATACTGCATCTACAAGATAATGTACTGCAATAGACGTTGTGTGTGTTGGCCGTACCCTGAGTTCAGACAGGGATTCTATGGAAAAACTCGTCTTCCCCCCGTTTGATAGTTGATGGTATCTTGTGCTTTGGAAACCGCAAATTCAATCATATGTTCAGCTAATTTTCCTGTGCTGATTTAATGGCTGTATTACAAGATTGCGCTAAATTTTCTTACGTACGGGGAATGAACAGGCGTTCTACGCAAGTATCGTGGAAATTCAGTCCCTGGTAACGAATTTTAACTGCTTTTTTCGTTGATTTCCAGGCACACTTGAGTCGGATGCAGTTATCTGCTGAAATTCATCAAGATACAGAGGTGGTGCTGAACAAAAGTTTGCGGTTGATTCAAGCTTGCGTTGATGTACTGAGTAGCAATGGATGGTTGACGCCTGCATTGGCGGCGATGGAACTCGCGCAGATGGTCACTCAGGCCATGTGGAACAAAGATTCTTACTTGCGCCAATTGCCCCACTTCACTCCAGAGATCATCAAGCGTTGCCAGGAAAAGAAGGTTGAGACAGTTTTCGACATCATGGAACTGGAGGACGAAGAAAGAAATGCCTTATTGCAGTTGGATGAAGCCCGGATGGCTGATGTTGCCCGATTTTGCAATAGGTATAGTTTTCGAGGATTAATTTTTCCTCTGACTTCGCTTGCTATTTTAGGTGTGCTCGAAAGACTTAGCTTCAAATTTTTCTCGAGTCTTCTCATTAAATTCGAGTTAAACTAAAATCACTTTCATACACTAATGTACTGTAGTTTGAAACCATCGTATTCGCGCGTGAACGTTGTATGTCCGCGTGGAGTTACTGATTTGGTGTAAAAGAGTTATACTCTTTTTGTTACTTTTGAATTTCATGAAAACGAAGGGTTTTTAATCTGCGTTGTGAATAATATCAATCCATGTTTTAGGTATCCGAATATTGAGCTGACTTACGAAGTTGAAGAGAAGGACAATTTGAGGAGTGGCAAAACTGTCAACGTAGCCGTGCAGCTGGAGCGCGAAGACGAGGTGTCGTCGACTGTCATTGCACCGTTCTTTCCGCAGAAGCGCGAGGAAGGATGGTGGGTCGTCGTGGGAGATCCACGTGCCAATTCTTTGATCTCCATCAAGCGGTTAACGTTACAGCAAAAGGCCAAGGTGAAGCTTGATTTTCTGGCACCCACCCCTGGCAGTCACTCGTACACATTGTACTTCATGAGTGACTCCTACATGGGTTGTGATCAGGAATACAAATTCTCGATTGCAGTTCAAGAACCAGAATCCGACGAAAGTGGCTCAGGTTCAGAATCTGAGTAATTCTTTGACTTGACGATTCTTTCCAAACCTTTCCTTTCTTTCTTCTGAGAATTTTGCGAGGATATTTCTGAATATTCTTGACTTTCTTCTTTTTTACCTCGTTTAAGCCTTCTGTGTTTTCTTCTTATGCGAAAAAGTGCCGTTTCCTTTCCCTTCTTGGTGGGTTTGAGTGGTTTTTTCACAATGATTCCTCGGTTTGTTGAAGATGTTGATGCGCGATTGAATATGAAGTTCTCTTGCGAGATTATCTATTAATCGTATTTTGAATGTTTTTTTTATTCTACGATATGAAGTGGTCTTTTGGATAACTTTATATCGGATATTTTTCAGGATGAATTTTACGCGTGTGTTGCGCCCTTCGGTGAGATGGTGCTCGTTTTACTCCACTATGTCGTGGCGCGAAGGGAAAACGTGGAAGAAATGTGACTCCGTTTTTGAAGAAGTTTTGTACAATAATGGATTTAACACTGCTCAAGTATTCCATATACGAGACCTGATGGAATCTCACCCACGAAGGCCAGAGCAGTGGAAAGTAAACGTTGAAATCTTACTCAGCTATTTGGATCCGGCAAGCGTGCGAAAGGTCCTTTCTCTCGCGCCAGCACTTCTTAATAGTCCGCCAGGGAAGCTAAAAAATACTGTGGATACCTTGAGAACTGCAGTACCTCTTGACCTGAGGTCTATTGCCATAGATTGTCCAATGCTGTTTGCAATGGACCCAAAGGAAACTGTTGGACGAATCGAAGCCTTGAAGGAATCGTTTCCTAAAAAGACACTGTTCAGATTGATTTCTAGAAATCCTCGACTATTATCTGAGTCTATGGAAGATATTCGTGAGAAGTACAGGTTAGTCTTCAGATTTTTTTCCGCACGAGAGCAGAGAAAATGGACGTACGAATGCTCAAGCTTTTGAGGATTATGTTTGTCTTTGATTATCGCATTCCGAGAAAATCAAATCCAAATTGCAATTCAATTCACGGGTTCGAGGATCTGCAATTGGAAAAATTTGAAAAAATGCGAACCGATAATCTTGAGGTTATCTAAATTTCAATTGATGAATAATTCTTCCGGAATTCATTTTGAAAAACAAGTTTTAAAAATGTCAGCCGATTGAAAAAACTGTACTCTTCATACCAAGCACCCTGATGTTAACGGATTTGTGTTTCGTGATAAATTTCAAATTCTGATCTGAAAATCTGGTTTGCAGTACGGGTTAAGAAACCGCGGAGGAAGTCTAAAATTAAAGATTGGCAATTAAGTAATAGTTAAATGTAATTACTGTACTCATATAGTATTTCGATTTGTATATTGGGTGATGCCTTTTTCAACTAGCGGTAGTTCGTGCCGCGTGAAGATTCATTGAAATGTTCAATCTTTCGTTTCATGATTCACTAAATCTGCTCTCTTTCACGGAATCATCATCCTCGTTTTAATGACGGCATTAATGTTCATAGGTATTTAACTGTCGTGATGGGTCAAGATCAGCGGGATATGATCAACAGCTCAGCATTGTCTTGCAGTTTCGAGCATCTGAGAGTCCGTCATCTGATAGCTGAATGGACCGACGTTTTTAAACCTATAAAAATGAAGATGAAAATGACCAGAAGGTGGACAGTGAAGCCAACATTGGAGGATTTAATGTGTTCTTCGGATGAAGATTTCTGCGAAAAGATCATCGGCATCAGTATGGATGAATACGCGACTTTTCGCGATTTGGTGGAGATGAATCTAATTTCCTCTCCGTTCGAGCCAAGTGATGATAGTGATGAAGAGTAATTATCATCAACCAAAGGTTTTGCCGTGCGTTCATGTTCTTGAATTTTTTGTTGTTCCCCGTTTAGTTATGAAGTGAAATGAAGCCGTTTTGTGGCGTACTGTATCATAAAGATGGAAAGCCCGAAGGGCACTGATAAATGCGGAATAAATGTTGCTCGTGAATACAGAAGTTTGCTCAAGAAAGGTATACTTATGGCATCCGGAATTCCGAGGTGAGTAATGCATTTGACAAAATCCTATTTTCGACGGCTGTTAGCTCGTTTTGAAAGTTTGAATTAACGAAAGAAATTATCAGAAGATTCATGCCCTTGACTTTTAACAACTGTCTCTGATCTGAATTGTTTCTACCCTTTTTCGTTGTTCGCAGGTTGGATATTGCTTTGGACGGTGGGTTTCAAAGCGGAGAAGTTGTAGAAATTTGTGGAAGATCTCTCAGTGGGAAGTCACAGTTTTGCATGCGCATTGCAGTTCAGGCTGCGATTAACGGGTACATGTGTGTGTATTTTGATACAGTTGGACATTATTCTCCAGAACGTGTTCGTGAACTAATCTCACGCCATTTTTCCTCCGTGAGTATTACATTTTCTGCTTGCGATCTTTTTTTTTTATCCTCGCCGGTATGATTCGTAGACAGAACAGGAAAGCGCTTTCGACGTTTTTCGCCGAATACGCGTGATCGGGGCTACCAGCATTTTTGGAGTCTTGGATGAGCTGGAAAAGATGCAGCAGGCGTTTGCCGGAAGGTCGGATTATGTTTCAAAGATAGGGTTAATTGTTGTTGATTCCTTGCCTGCCATCATCAATGGGATTCGAAGCAATAACCATTTTTTGTGTGAGTAATGACCATATGAACCTGATTTCGCAACATGTGCTTAAAGGAAATATTCTCATTCATAGCTGTCAAAATTACGACAGACTTTACTGCGGTACGATGGGGTATAGGCTGTTTTTGAGTAAAAACTTGCTGTAGCCCATTAATTACTTATGGATAACAAGAAAATATGTTTTTAAAAGGAAGATTTTCTTTTGCGTCCTTAAGAAATTATGCAGATTTCTGAACCTCCGATCTTTTTTGCAGCTGAGAAAATACTGAACAAATTTGCGGGGACTATCAAGTATATGGCGAAGCGGCGGAATTTGGTTATCGTCGTTGTCAATAACATTCGAGTGATTCATCAAAATGGTGTAAAAGTGGATCGGATTATGCTCGGTCGCCTGTGGAGCTTCGTGCCTCAAATACGCGTAATCTTCTCGCGCGTCGATGCTCCGTCATTGGGTCCCAAAGCCGGTCAACCACTAAAACTTCGTGTCAAAGTTGCGAGAAGCGTCCGAAGTCGAACGAATGAGGAATTTGACGTAGAATTAACGAGTGGAGGCTTAAGATGACAGGCGCGTGATGTGTCACTGTATTACCAAGTACCTAATTCCTGGTTCGATTCAAAAATCCGATAGAATATTGGTGTAATTCGATCGTCGAAAATTTTTTTTTGGTTATTCGCCTGAATCGTAAAGAAAAGAAGCAAAAATTTGAATACAATACTAATTTTAAATTTTAATTCAAACTAAAAAAAATCTAGTCAAAGGATATCTTATTTGGAGAAAGTTCAGCATCTTGGTCTTTGCGATAGCACTCTTTTCATAGCTGCTCAATTTACTCCTTGCCTCATAAGAGAAGTCTCATGAGAGAATCAAAAAGTGTTTCTTACAAAGTCGCTTATGGTACTGCGTTACGAAAGGATTACTAATGATTGTACGTCTTCCCGAAGAATTTTACAGTTCTTGTGTGTGCATTTTTTGTGATGGCCTTTTACAATTTACTCACTATTTCACGTGCTTTCTATTAGGCTTTTCGGTCGCGCGCTTCAATGAAATCGCCTAAATATGCCTGAGGTTGAGGTGACGAGTGAGCCTGTCGCGGTGGAGGTTGAGAAAGTCGTTGAAAAAGATGATAATCCACCTGCAGAAGAAACGGATGAAGATATTGATCGGGACTTGCCAAATGGTAAAACGGGAGAGTGTTCAGAAAATGGAGACGAAGAACTTACCATCGGTATCGAAAGTAACTCGGACGAAAATGTGGTTTGCGACCAAGAACCTCTCGCAACGACTGCTGACGGTAAAAAATCGGAAGAAGCGAAAGAAGAGCCCGATCTTTCCAAGGATGGAGGCGTCGAGCTGCAAAAAGAAACCGTAGGTTATTTTACTTACATTGTTCGTTGATCATATGCTGTTTTTCAAGACATTCACTTGCTATGTTTTCAAGCGTCGCTGTTCTACTAAATCGTGAAAAAACTGTGCTCTCTTATCTTTTATGAACAGGTTATTCTTTGCAGTTGTCTTCAGTATTCTTAATTGTAGTAGCGTCCATTTTGAAAGTCGGTCCAAGATTTTAATTCTGTATGCTGAAGATAATGTTTTGAAGAAGCATGATTCAGGAGCACTTCTTTTTTTATCATGTTACTTCGATTCCTACTTTGTGCAGGACTCCGACAGAGTAGTCGAAGAAGATTTGTCCCTGGAAAAATCGGTTGAAAATGACAGCTCTTCAAAGAGAGTAGATGAATTGGACTTGCTACCTGGACCGTTGGAAAGTGTTCCGGAACCGGTGATTTCGACTGACCCGTCGAGACCTTTAGAAGCAGAAGAAGTCACTGACCTCGAGCCTGTGAAACCCGACGACAAATTATTGGAGAACTCGTGCGCGAATATCGTTGAAGGTGTAGTCGATACTTCGATTGATTTGGGGGAAGACTGTCTTGATCCGGGTGGGGACAAAGCGTGTATCATAGTCGAAACGAGTGGAACTACTTGCGACGAAGCTGAGAATGGTTCCAAAAAAGTAGAAGACGAGATTCTAGTAGACGGAAACGGATCTGTCGAAAACCCTGAAGCATTAAGCCAAAAAATTACGGACCCACCCTCAAATGTGATAAAAGAACCCGAGCGTATGCAAACAAAAGCCGCTGATGTTGATCCCTCAGGGGTTGCGGTCATGTGCGAAAGTAAAGTACTAATGCCAACGGAAAGCGCTGGTCTCCAGGAAGTTCCCGCTGAAATAGCGTCAGCAGAACCCATGGAAGTTGAAAACTCACCTCCTGGTAAGTTTTTTTTACGATCTGTATAATTCTCGGTGTTTTAAATCTCAAACTTGAAAGCCAAGCGTTGCTATAATTGCTAACCTGGCCGGAAATGACGAAACTGTACCTAAGCTAAGTTAATCCAACCACATCGTCTGTGTCTTGAGAATTGTAACGTGATTTAAGCGACACCTATGTAAATGTGCCAAAAATCGTGCCGTCAGTGACGTTGGGCGTTGATACGAACGCAGCCCTCAATTAGTTAGTTATGGAAAATATTGTGCACCATTTCATTGTGGCTAAGATCTTGCTTATCGCTTCATATGTATTCTTGTTCTTGAACGAATTTTCTAGAGTTGGAAATAATTGAGGAGCCAAGAGCAGGGTCCGAAGACGCAGAATCGTGCAAGGCCACGAACGAAGAGTCATTAGTTCCGTCGAATGCCATCGCCGTGCAATCGAATGATGGAGCGGTGAATGAAACTGAAATCAATGCTGAGAAATCAGTAGATCTACCTCGCGATAAAGACCCCCAACCCCAGTTACCCGCATCTGCTCCCAGCGAAAAAATTAATGCTGAGGTGGAAACAGATAAAGGCGTGAAATTGAGAGAGGAAACTCCGCCGGAAAAACAGGATGATACAAATGACGACGACGACGATGAAATTCTTGTTGTTGATGAGACCCAAGAGGTAGGAAGCCCGAAGGTACCTCCTACCACAGATGGAAAATCTTCCCCATCGCCAGATGTGAAGATTGTCGAAATCCGCGCCTCAGAATCATCTGCTGCAACTGGGTCAAAACGGCCCGCCTCGTCCATCGCAGCACCCCCATCTTCAAAACGTCCGAAAACTGAAGACCTGCCTGAAAGCTTACCAGATGTGAAAGACACCGACGTCATCGAACAAATGTTGTCCTCCGTACGAAATGATATTCAAGCACTTAACGTTCAACTGAAGGAAAAGGAGCGGGAATGGAACCTGTTGGTTCACAAGAAAAAACAAATGGAGGAGCATTACTTGAGACTACGCCGTAAGAAAGACATTACACTCATTGAAACCACTGGCGTGTTGCCAACACCGACAGTATCGGCGCCATCACCCGCGCCGGTGCACACGAGTGTAGCCGAAGTGAAGAGAACGAAGGTGTCCTCTCCACTGATAACTTCACTTGGTTCCACGACGAATTTTTCCACAATTCCCCTAGTTTCGCAAGCAAAACCAGTTGTTCATGCAACACCGATTCAAGCGTTGATAAGCCAACAGCAACAATTGCAGCTTCTTCAGCAGCATCAGCAACAAGCAGGTCAGTTCCCATGGGTATGCTAACCAGTTGAAAGGGTTGAGACGTTGATTCAGCCTATGTATCCATGTTCATATTCTTTGGAACGCGAGGAGAAGACCACTTTCTCTTAAATTTGAATTACGAGAATTTATTCGGGCAAGGTTGCGAGAACAAATTCTTGACTATATCAGTAGAAAGAAATTTTTTAGAAATGGTGAAGAGTTCGATTAGCTATTTTGAATGCTTTTTTTGTGCATTTGTTCGAAAACAAGTTGTAATCGTCGAATTTGTATCAGCGCCAGATTAATTTTATGCGATGCATCTTGCAGCTGTCGTGTCTGCCGCCTCAGCGACCTCGAAGAAAATGCTGAATGATGCGGGTCTGAGCCGTGCGATGTCGCTCGGGTCTGACTTGTTCAGCGCGAAGTCAAAAGTCAGCGTCGAGTCACTAATAGCGCAGCACCGAGCTAAAGCACCTCAACCAATTGCTCCCGCCATTACGATACCTTCAAATCGAAACGTGATGAGGCGGTGGCCCACTCCTAACTCTAAACAACAGGACGTTGAACTATTGGGAGATGGTAGTAAAGCGGCCCAAGACGCACTATACTCAGTGCAGCAGGTGCGATAAACTTTTTTGAATTTCATTTTCAGGGCATTAGCAACTCGAAACATGTCTTTCCACCTTGAATGATGTGTGGTATTTTGCAAAAAACCAAGGTCACATTTCTTCCCTGTTCTACCCCGTATAAACCCCCCCCCCCCCCCCCCCCCCCCCCCCCCCACCCCC